GGCTGAGGGGCTCTGAAGAGGTGAGGAAGGGTGAGCTTTGAGCATCTCAGGACTCTCACCATGCGCTGCAAAGCCTTCTCAGTTGTGTTAAACACTGCAGAACCTGTATGCTTCATGTCCGGCATGTACTGCAGGTTTGTGATGGTGAAGTTGAGGATAAAGGTCACCAGGGTAGGGCTTGTGGCTGTAACATGGGAGGCAGATCAGAGAATCTGTTTTGAGCCCGCTAGAACTCTCTGTCCAGCCCTCACTCAGGTGGGCTCTAGTTCTCTCCATCAGAGGCCTTCACCTCGCTTGGTACTTGGAGCAGAGCAGTCAGGGACCACCATTTAAATCCTACCCAAGGGCTCCTGATATCTGGAATTGGCTCTTCTCCCAGGAACCCTGATTTGGGGTACCTATAGTGACCCCCAATCTTCTCCCACATTGGCAAAGTTACGTGTCACAGACTCATGCTCAGGCCCCTGGTTGCAATTTTAGTTCCTTCCTTCTGTGAGTCAACAAATATTTATTGAGAACCAGCTATACGTGAAGCACTGTCAGGGATTTGCACATCTATTGTGAATTAGGAAACTAGGATTCATGTTAGCCATTTCAATAGGGGGAATTTAATACCAAGAAAACACACACAAAACCTGGAAAGGTAAGAAATTAGCAATTAGCAAAATCAGGAATCCACTCCTACCACAGGGCTAAAATGAGAAAGGACTAGGAAATGATACACAGAGTTTGGTGAGACCATGGAGGAGACACAGCCTCTTCCAAAGATGCTACGTGAAGTCTGGGTGCCGCGGTTGGGAGGATCAGGGGGGCGGGGTAAAGAAATAGTCTGGCCCTTCCACAGCCCTGCCCACCATTGTCCCACCAATGCCTCCTATTGGCTGAACCTAACAAGAAGTTAGTTAGCATGGGAGCCTGGGAAATGTACTTTTCATAGGTCAGACGTCCAGCCCACAGAGCACAGGAATGTTGGAGAATGGATCCCAGGACAAAAACAAAACAAAAATTCACATGCAGTGTAATAGAGAAAGCCCATAAGAAGTTACATTCCTATAAAAGAGAAGCAGACAACAGAATATAAACAAATAAGTACAAAAAGGCGGGAGAAGTATTGTGAAGGATTAACAAAAAACCGAGGCCTCGTTTCGATGTTCGAGTGAGACAAGTTCCTAGAAGAAATTGAGTTTAGCCAGCCGTGGTGGCTCACGCCCATAATCCCAGCACTTTCTGAGGCCAAGGCGGGCAGATCAACTGAGGTTGGGAGTTCGAGATCAGCCTGACCAACATGGGGAAACCCCGTCTCTACTAAAAACACAAAATTAGCTGGGCATGGTGGCACATGCCTGTAATCCCAGCTACTCAGGAGGCTGAGGCAGAAGAATCACTTGAAGGTAGGAGGCCGAGGTTGCAGTGGCCCGAGAATGCACCACTGCACTCCAGCCTGGGCAACAAGAGCGAAACTTCATCTCAAAAAAAAAAAAAATTGACTTTTCCTTCACAGTCAGCAGAGTAAACAAACAACCCACAGAGTGGGAGAAAATCTTCACAATCTATACATCCAACAAAGAATCTACAATTAACTCAAACAAATTAGTAAGAAAAAAACAACCACATCCAAAAGTGAGCTAAGGATATGAATAGACAATTCTCAAAACAAGACATACAAACAGCCAACGAACATATGAAAACATGCTCAACATCACTAATGATCAGGGAAATGCAAATCAAAACTACAATGTGATACCACTTTACTTCTGCAAGAATTGCCATATCAAAAAATAAAAAATATAATGGATGTGACTCGAGGGGCCAACATGGCTGACTAGAAGCAGCAGCACTCAGAGGCTCCCATTGAAAAAGACCGTAAGTGTGTGAATCCGTCCCTGGCAACCAAGGTATCCAGGTTCTCTCATCAAAATTGACTAGAAGGCCGGCAGTGACCCATGAGAGAAGGAAGAGCAATGTGGTGCAGTGGCCCACCAGAGAGACACACATGGAAGGAGGACGCCCTCCCCAAGCCAAGGGAGGTGGTGAGTGAGCGTGCTACCCAGCTGGGGAAACTGTGCTTTATCCACGGAACTGTGCAACCCACGGATTGGAAGATTCCACTCGCAAACCCATGCCACTACCCAGCTGGGGAAACTATGCTTTTTTTTTCAGAGAACCGTGCAACTTATGGATTGGAGGATCCCACTTGTGAACCCTTGGCACTGGGGCCTAGTGTCCCAACCCCAGAACATACAGACTCTTACAGGTGGAATCTGCCTAAGCTTACCGAATTCCCTGGGGCAACCAGCACTGGCTGTGGCAGCCTAGTGTCTAAGTCCTTTGAGCTCCTTGTGGGAGGAGCAACAGCCAGTACTGGGACTCACAACTGCCTAAGGCTAAGCTCCCTGGGTGGGGAAGGGCGGTACCCATTTCTATAGCTCCAGGCTGCACATTTCCCCTGCTGGAGCCAGGAGGGCTGCATGGCTTTGTCCCAAGACTTGTCCCCACAGCCCAACACACCAGCTGTGGCTGTCTGCAGCCAGAGTGCCTCTTCAGGCCTAATCCTGACTCATCCTTCCTCAGTGGGCAGGGCTTCCCTGCAGGATCTTCAATAATGCCAGCCAGAGGCTCAGGGACAGAATTCCAACTCTCTGGGCTTGAGCCTCTAGGATGAGGGGTGGCTGTAGTCTCTGCGGACCAGCAGACCTAGCCTCTCCTCTTGGTGGTTCCGAGGAATCCAGGCAGCCCAGATGAGTGGGTTTCCCTCCAGTGAAACGCACCCTCTCCACTAAGGGAAAAAGTGCTTCATTAAATGAGTCCTGCTCCCTGCACCACCCAACTGGGTGAGACTCTCCAACAGGAATTGTCAGGCACCCTATATAGAAGCGATCCTACTGACATCAGGTTGGTGACCCTCGAGGTCAGGGGTCCCAGAAGAACACCCATCTTTGCTGCTCTCAAGCCTCCCTGAGTGAAGTCTCCAGGCATGGGAGTGAATCAGAAGAATACAGCCTGAAATGAACTCCCAGCAAACTGCAGCAGCCCTACAGAAGAGGGAACTGACTACTGAAAGAAAAACAAGCAGAAGTGACAATAACAGCATCAACAACAACAAAAAGGCCCCCACACAAACCCTGTCCAAGGATCAGCAGCCTCAAAGACTGAAACTAAAACTCACAAAGATGAGAAAGAATCAACAAAAAAAAGCTGAAAACCCAAAAGGCCAGAGTGCCTCCTCTCCTCAAAATGATTGCAACATCTCTCTATCAAGGGTGCAGAACCGGATGGAGGATCAGATGGATGAATTGACAGAAGCAGGCTTCAGAAGATGGGAAATAAAAAACTACAATGAGCTAAAGGAGCATGTTCTAACCCAATGCAAAGAAGCTAAGAACCTTAATAAAAGGTTAAAGGAATTACTAACAGGAATAACCAGTTTAGAGAGGAACACAAACGACCTGATGAAGGTGAAAAACAGAGCACAAAAACTTCAGCATGCACAAGTATCAACAGCCAAATCAACCAAGTGGAAGAAAGGATATCAGCCATGACCAAGCTGAACCTGAGTTGAGCCTTCTAGGAAAACCAAACAGCCAACTACACATCATCAAGGAACCTAACTCTCTTGAATTCTTTCCGATCATCCCGAGTCAGCTCCAAGTAAATTGGTAGTGACTGATGGGCTTTTTTGGTAACCATTCTGAAGTTGTTTTGAACTGAGAGAGAATGAATGCTATTATCAATTAGTGATGTCTGCCATGAATGCTGCAATCAATTAATGATGTCTGCCATGGATGAGGGAGAGGAGCAGATACCATATAGTTTTCCAGGGTAGACTCTGGCAGGCACTAAAGTTGAACCAGGCAGGAGAGGAATGTTTCAATACATTATAAGAAAGCATACTTCATTCCTTCCTTCCCTGGGAAAATCCATGTATTTCCTGTAGATATAAATCTGTAGATCTGCCACATACAAGGTCCTGAAGTAGATACTATGGAAGCACAAGAGAGTAAGACACAGTTGCTCCAACCAGTTGGTTTACTCACTATTGGGGTGATTGGAAATAAACACAATGTTCAAAGCACAGAAAATGTGTTTGCAATTGATTTAAAAAATATATATATATGCAACAGGATTGAAAGCGAGTGATAAAATAAAAGATTCCCATGATTCTTTTACCCATCATAATTCAAGGTTTTTTAGAAATCATGTTAAATAGTACTAGTTAAACACTGAGCATAGCACTTTGGTGAATATTCAGTACCCAATAAGGTCATATATTATTCTACCTTTGTTATCACTCCACCATCATAATCATCACCCTTCCTGTCACCACCATCACCATCATTATTGTCATCATCACCATTGTCACCACCACCATCACCATTGCCATCATGATCATCATAATCACCATCATCATCACTATCATCAGCATCATCACCATTCATATCATCATAGAAATATAAGCTATCTGAGAGAAGACATTTTTAATTGTTTCATGATGCCTGCCATATCCCCAGGATTTGGTACAGAGCCCCAAGGCTTGGGACAGTGCTCAATAAAGTTTATTGGTTGGTTCATCATCACTAGATTTACAAAGAATTTCCATCTTTATTTGGGTGAATAATGGAAGAGATGTTTACATTCATCAGCCATGCTCTAACAGAGGTGCCATTCGCTGGTACTTATTCAAGGGACCAGTAGAAGGGAGGGAGCCCCAGAGTTTTCCAGGTCCACTGTGGTCCCAAGAGCTATGGAGAAGGCCTCTTCAGTGGAAGCAACCAAACCTCTCATGGCAGAAAGGTCAGCAAATAAAACTATCTACAGGCCTTGCTGCATATGGGGCTTGAGCTGAGTCTCTCTCTGGAGCTGGCCAGAAAGGAAAAGGAAATAACCTGTGCCCTCTCAGCTCCTTCCCCCATGAAGAGGACATAGGGGCATAGGAGGAGGGGTCAGCTCCTGCCCTGCTTGGCATAGAATTGGGGCCACTGGAGCATGAGTTGAATACTCACTGCTGGTGGTGGGCACAGAGCTCCGATGGGTGAAACCTGCATAGAGAGGGAGGGAGAAGAGTGGGTAAGGGTTAAGGGGAGGTGGGGGATCAAACAGGGGTCACAAATACCCTAGTGGAATGGAAGGAGTTTCAAGGAACGGGGACCTTTGAAGACTCCCTATCAGCATCCTTAGATCAGGGAAGAATGTACCAAGGATGAACTCAGTCCAAGATGAAAAAGAAATTGAAGTTCAGACATCAGTCATCACACACAGACAACATAGCTAAGACTTCAATGGCCAGTCAGGGAATGTGATCTCAAGTCAGAGGGTGAGAGCTGCCCAGCAAAGTAGAACCTCCAACCACATCACAGCTGCTCACCATTGACATAGAGACTGTCCCTGTTCAGGGTGTAGGGGCCCAGCTCAGTGAAGCCGTGGGTCAGCTGGCTCAGCTCCAAATACAGCTGCTCTCTGTCCAGCCCAGGGCCTGTGGGGTCAGGGTGATAGGTGCAGATGGCGTCCACTCTGGTAGCTTCCCCATCCTTCTCAGACCTGTGGTGGGGGGGGTGGGAAGGGAATGACATTAAATAGATTTCCTACAGGGAGACATTCTGAGATTCCGGGGGGCAGGACAGGAAGGGGACAGAGGAAACGAGAATCTTAGTAGACAGGTGAGAAGCCACACTAAGATTCTCTGAATGCACCAACTTCGAGGCAATCTGAGAATATTGCCAGGAATATTGTCAGGAATACAAGAATTTTATAAAATTGAATTCTCATGGCATGGGGACAGGTGAGCCCAGACTTGAGAAACATTAGAGCTGGAATTGGGGATGAAAGCAAGTGGACAGGGCATGTTTGTCTTGAGAGAAATTTTGGAAGAGAATTTAACACCTGAAGGAGAGGGAGGTGGGGAGAAGTAAGAAATTCAGAGGAATGAACAAGGGAGAAGCCCAATCTGGCTGATGGGCCCTGCGAGTCCTCTCAGTTGATGGGGGAGGTAGTAGGATCAGGAGACATGTTGGTCCCAGAGCCACCACCACCTGAATTCCACTTGTGCTGAGGACTTCCCCAGGGAGGGCAGGAAGAAAGCTGACCAAACTCCTTGGGCCTAGGAATACTTGGGGCAGCCAGACTGGTTATTATCAGCTCTCACCTGAGCAAGGTCAGTCTGCAGCCAGAGTACAGAGGGCCAACACTGGTGTACTTGAACAAGGGCCTTAGCTGTGGAGGAGGAAGAGGGAGGTGAGTAGGATGGCTGAAGATGTAGGGGTGAGGAAGATGTAAGGTGGGAGGGGCTGTAATCAGGAGGCAGGGTTTGCAGGTCTCGGGTGAGGGGGGGTAGGTGAGACCTTCCATGCCTGGGCGTGGGTGACATAGATGGAACTAGACAAGGTGGGCAGGGGAGAGTGAGGTGGGCAGGGCTCTCACCAGACCCTGAAGGACCCTCTCTGTAGCATTGAACTTCCTGGAGCCAGGCCACATGTTCTCCTCATACCGCAGGTTAGTGATGGTGAAGTTGAGGGTGAATGGTATTGGGGGATGGCTGGCAGCTGTAGTGGAGGTGGGAAATACACACTATGTTCAAAAGTAGAGAACATTTAAGAGTTTGTAATGGACTTATTTCTAAACATATGCAAGTGGATTTAAAAGAGTGATAAAATAGAAGGTTTTCATGCCTCCCTTGACCATGATGATCAAAGTTTTTCATAGAATATGCTAAATAATAATAGTTAGATGCCAAGCATAACCTTTGGTGCATCTTCAGTGTTGTTCCATAATATTAGATACTACCTATTACCTTTGTTATCACCACCATCATTATCATCACCAACACTGTGGCCATCACTTTCATTATTGCCATCACCATCACTATCCGGACCAAAACCATGATCATCATAATCCCTATCATCCCCACCACCATCACCATCGTCATCCACATCATCACCTACACCATCACCACCATTGTTTCATCCTTACCATCATAACCATCACCACCACCACCATCTTCATCATCACCACCATCATCATACCACCATCATCACCATCACCACCACCACCATCTTCATCATCACCACCAACACCACCACATCATCATCACCACCAACACCATCACCATCACCATCACCACCAGCACCACCACCATCATCATCCACATCATTACCTGCATCATCACCACCATTGTTTCATCCTTACCATCATAACAATCACCACCACCACCATCATCATTATCATCACCATCACCATCACCATCATCATCAGCATCACCACCACCACCACCACCATCATCATCATCATCACCATCAACACCACCATCATCACCACCACCAGCACCACCATCATCACCACCACCGCCACCACAACCATCATAATCCACATCACCACCACTAGTACCATGATCACCAACATCATGATCACCTCATCCTTAACCTTCATAACCATGGCCACCACCACTATCATTATCATCCTCGTTGCCAACATCACCATCACATTGTTAATCACCACCACAACCATCACCACCACCACCACCACTGTCATCCTTCTCATAATCACCACCGCTATCATCATCGTCATCATCATTATATTGTCATTACTGTCAAAACCACTACCATCATCAATATCATCTTCCTAATCACCATCATCATCACGTTATGGTCATCAGCATCAGCATCATTATTGCAATCATCTCCAGCAACATCATCACCACCACTATCCCACATCATCCTCAAAATAAAATAAGCTCTTTGAGGGCAGAGATTTTACCTCTTTTGTGTTCCCTGCCTTATTCCTAGGGCCTGGCAGAGTGTGGGTGCTCAAAAAAGTTTGTAGGGTGACTCATAATCAGTAGATTTGATATGATTTTTAATCTTTATTTGAGTGAAAAGGACAGAGATGTTGACACTCATCATGCATACTCTACTAGAGGTACCATTGACTGGTACTTACCTGAAGGGCCAAGTATCGAGGCTGAAGTCTTAGACATTCCCAGATCTACTGTGGGGGTCCCAGGAGCTGAGGAGAAGCCTCATTAGTTAAAGCAGCAAATTCTCACATGGCAGAAATGCCAGCAAATAGAAGTATTTTTACATGTGGAGCTTGAGATGAGTATCTTTTTGGAGCTGGGCCAGAAGGAAAGGGAATAACTTGTGCCCTCTCAGACCCTTCCCTCATGAAGAAGATATAG